GATCAAAGGATATACAACAGATGAACAGAAGGAGGAGCAAGAAAAGAAAGTGGAGGGAAAAGAGGAGAGAGTAAAAGAACAATGAAAGAAAATGAAGAAGAAGAAGAAGAAGAAGAAGAAAAAGAAGAAGAAGAAGAGGAAGAAGAAAGAAAAAAAGAAAGTTAAAAATTAAAGGAATGAAGATAAAATAAAAAATACAGCATTTTTTGATGGGGATGTTAACCCATTCGCCACGTTTGGCATCTAATCTTGCCATGCGGTTAATGGACCCCAACACGTTTGGCATCTAATCTTGCCATGCGGTTAATGGACCCCAACACGTTTGGCATCTAATCTTGCCATGCGGTTAATGGACCCCAACACGTTTGGCATCTAATCTTGCCATGGCTTCTAGGAGCCCCACAACGTTTGGCATGTATTTCTGCCATGATGACTGACTACAGACTGACTGTTTGTTATTTTTTTTACCTAATAGATGGCTCTGCAGCTAAGTCTTACTTGATTGGCCCACAACATTTGGCATGTATTTCTGCCATGATGACTGACTACAGACTGACTGACTGTTATTTTTACCTAATAGATGGCTCTGCTGCTAGTCTTACTTGATTGGTCATGTCATCTGTTGATATAGACAACTAAACTTACACAGTATAACCTCTCATATCAATACAAAGCTATTTTTGAGCATCAAAGTGAAGCTACATTCACTTCTGCTTTTCTTCCTTTTCTGTTGAAAGAAATAAAAAAAAACATGGTTTGATCTCTCATATGGACAATGCACTACTTCTGAGCATCAAAATGATATTTGGCTTGCTGCTGAGCTTTATATTTTGCTTCATTTGAAAGTTTGAAAAAAAAAACAACAAAAAAATGGCTAAGTCCATAGTTTGCCATATCGTTCAAAAACAACACTAACTTTTAGCCTCAAAGGGTTCATGTCATCTGTAAATATAGGCAACTTGGAAGGGATTCAGTATTTCTCCTAATTGCAAAGGTGAAAGAGTGCCTAGAAAACACCATGAGAAAAGTGCAATTTCTACACATTACCTTTATATAAAACCCAACTTTACTACAAGATCTATGGACAGATTACTGCAAAATTGATATGATGGTCTTTGCGCAGCCGCGCCGCGCCAGAAAAAATCCCGTGGCGGGGGCCCACACGGCTGGCAACTATTCCCGTGAGCGAGGTTAAGCGTCGAGCGAAAAATTCCGTGGTGAATGGGTTAATTAATCAAAAATATGCTGATAGACAATAAAAACAGAAAAAAAGAAAGTAAAAAATTAAAGGAATGAAGATAAAATAAAAAATACAGCATTTATTGATGGGGATATTAATTAATCAAAAATATGCTGATAGACAATACAAACAGAAGTCTCCACCTGTCGAACAGCAAGTGGAAAATTCAGGACAAATGTCAAAGCACAGACTAAACTTACTGTCTCCTTCACAAATGAGCGGTCCGAGTGTGTATCGCGCCTTCTTGCCATCCAGAGGTGAGCCCGTGTCTCCTATGCGCAGCTGCCTCACAGGAAGATGCTCCTTCACAGTCAGCTCTCCGCTATCAAACAGCCACGACTCTAGACCTAATGAAAAGCATTCAAGGGTTATCAAGAGTCCCTGGTAATTATGATTAATATTGAAAATTTGGTACAGTTTTCAGCTTAATCTGAATAAAATAGAAAGAAGGAAAAATTCAGGAAAATATAAGACAATTGTGCGAAATAACAAAATCAGCTGCAACTCTACAACAGGAAATTCAATCCTATATTAGTGCTGCAACTACATTATATCAATGCTGTTGCTTTAGTATATGGTAGTTATATACCTTACCAACTTGCATTAATATTCTACACACATAACCTGTGTTTGAGTTACGGTTGCAACTCTTACAAAATTACTGTGCCCTTACTGCTATTGACACAGAGAAGGAAAAAAAATATGGACCTATTAAAAAAAAAAAAAAGATGGAAATAATGGTTAACATCTTACTTTCCCAAGCACCTTTGCAAAATACTTCTATGAGAAACATTGACCTCTCAACCACATCAACATCTTGTGCACTCATCAGCCAAAAGACCTCACACCACATCCAAATTGTGCTCTCAAAATGCTCGTGACGACGCTTCTCCTCTCTCTGTACAGTACCTGACTCGCTTGCACGGAGGCTTCGCACTCTTCTCATACTTGCTTTCCAAGACTACAGGGGAGGCATAAGACAAGTTACATAATCTCATTTCCGAGGCGATGAAAGTCTTTGTAGACATTTAAAAATGAAGTAATTGGCTTTGGTGTTTATACGATTTGACAATAGAAAGTAGTAGTTACCATACTAGCAAATTGATTGCAATATCTATAACATCTATATTTTTAGCACTATTTTTCCTTTTAATGCAAAGTTCAATTTGTAGTAGTAAACACACTGCTACAGGTATCACATTTACCAACATACATTCAAAATGCCTTAAACAAAACCATGTTCAGATTTGCACACCTTTGTATTCAGCAAACATACTAACCTGCATCACAGTTGCACCATTTTCCAGTCACGCAGGTGCCCATAAGACCGCACTCGCACTTCCGAGACCCTGGCAGAGATCCTCCCCAGTAGTCCATGGGCTGGTTGTTGCGAGAGACCCACCAGGTGTAGGGCTGGAAGGAGGAACTGCCTGTTACAACATCTGATAAAGTGTACTAGGCCATAAAAGAAAATGCTTTAAGACCTCTCAACCTCTTGACATTTGCAGCTTGCAAACAACAAGAATAACTAAAGAAAACGAAGCTACACACAAGGATGGGGCCATGATGGTAAAGCAAAGTAAAGCAAATAATAAGCATACTACATTACCTGGAAGTCCTGATCCTCAGGTGAAGGCGAGTTAAAGAGCTTGGCCTTCAGGCACTCGAAATGAATGCGCTGCCGGCACTTGGTGGAGCGGTTGACGAAGATCTCAATCTGTTCCATTTCAGTGGCATAGATGATGTTCTGCACGTAAGAGCCTCTCCTCTCAAAGCCATCCACAGTTGTCGTCATCTCATGCTTGTGGCCCAGGTAGGAGTACACTTTGCCATCGTCTTCAGAGAAGAAGAGATTATTACTGCAACTCTCTGTTCTTGATCACTAGCATAAAGAGCTTTGCACTCTCCCCTCTTTACCTCTAATTTATTTCTGATATTTCTTTAGCTCTTCCCCCACTTTGTCCCCATCACTGTTTCTCTTCTAGTCTCTCCCCCCTTTCTATTTTATACATTGACATTTTAAAATGCCCATAAAGTTTTTTATAAAGTTACAGTGTAAGAAATTTATATTCTAATGATATATCACAGCATCTTCACCCCCCCCCCAAAAAAAAAATAAATAAATAAAAATAAAAAAATAATAATAATAATAAATAAAAATAATAATAATAAATAAATAAATAAAAATAAGTTTAAAGATCATTATCAATAAAAATATCAACAAATCCATTATTTCTTTTTTGTTTTGCAGAAAAGGATAATATATGTAAGTATACAATTTCACAGCAAATAACAAACAAACTAATAAATGTTAAAATGAAAGAAGAAGAAAAAATTAAAATACAATTATCATCCCTTGTATAAAAACACATAAAATCATGATAATAATAATGATAATAATAATAACAATAATGATAATAATAATAATAATAACTATAATAAAAATAATAATAATGAAAATCATTATAATGATAATAGTGACAATAACAACAACAAATAGTTAATAAACAGGGAAACGATTACATACTGTAAAATTCACAAGTGACCAGGAAGGGAACCAGAGGCCCAGAGCCATCAACGTCAATAAAAACTTCAGCTCGTTTGGATCCAGGATTCTGCATTCCGTAGGCAGCACAAGAAATGGGGTTCAAGGCTGCAAAAAGAGAAGCTGAATTAAAAATTATGCTCATGTAAGTCTGTAATAATACTTATGTGTTATTCACACACGTGCGCACATGCACACGCACACACGCACGCACACACACACACACACACACACACACACACACACACACACACAGAGGCACTGGCACTTATGCATCACACAAACCACATATGGGCCCATACTCAAAAATACATGTATATGTATATCTAATATGTTGTCATAAAAAAATAATGTGCTATAATATACACAATGAGTGTTATGTACAATAATATTTATGACTCATCTTAACATCCTAAATATCACAAGGCATACTTACAGGTGTGGCACACGGCACCTGAGTACCCTGTTCCTGAACAATCACAGAAAAATTCATTGCTATTCTGCTTGCAACGGCCATGGTGTTCACAAGGATTAGGGTTGCAACGATCCATTATCTGACAAGCAGCCAGTACAATGCCTTTCTTATTACTTAGTTCCTGCAAAAAAACAAAAAAAAATTGCTCACATTAACATGAAGCTTCTGAATCTTTACTCTTAGACAGAAGTAAAAAGGCAGACATACTGATCTAACAGAATAATTCAGTCATTCAAATGCAGAAAGGCACAACTCACTTCTTCTTTGGGCTTCTGCATGAATCCCAGCACTGAAATGCGTCTCATGCATCCGAGGAAGCCGTCCGAACCATAGACTCCACCTGGAAAATAATGCAAGTCATCAAATGATACTTTAATATATAAACAAGTTACATGAACCTGCTGTACACAAATACATGTTCTATTCCCCAGGGATATCGTAATCCATTGCTGGGGGGAACATATACTCTGCACTATAGTTCTGGTTTGTGAATTTTGTTTACACATTCAAGGCTCCACATGCATTCATCAACAAGGGGTCAATTAGTAGGCCCTAAGTGACCTCACCTGATTTCCCCCTTTCAGCTTTCAGGGTGATTTTTTTTTTTTTTTTTTTTTTTTTTTTTTTTTTTTTTTTTTTTTTTTTTTAGATGCTATTAACATTGATACTATTATTATATGACATTATGATTACTATAATGTTAATGAAAATAATAATAATAATAGCAATAAAAGGTTAAAAAACAAAAAATCTTCCCAAAGATCAAGGAAAAAGGTAAGCAGGTGAGATAGGTAGGATTAATAACTGTCTCCTTTGTGACTAAGTTCATGTGGAGTTTCCAAACATCAAACCCTTGCCCCTTACCTCCAACAAGGAAGTATTTGCCAGAAATTACAGAGATGATCCTTGTAGTCTTCATAGGGACATCGTCAACAGTAAGTTCCATGCTGTTCTCAGAAACAGTGAACATGGCTTTGTGCCACTGGCCGTCATTGTAAGTGACGTCAAAGTTATCGAGTACAACCTTGCCTGGGGTTTTTGCCGAGGAGATCACGACTTTTACTTTGCCATCTTCCAAGTAGAGCTGAAAATTTATATATACATATATATCAAGCTGAGATTTATATATATCAAACTGAAGTAAAAGTAAAACAACAAAAGATTTCTAAGACAAATAAAAACACCAAAACTAAGAGCAAAGTGAACCCTAAAGATGCCCTCACCTTGAAGTAGCCTGTTGTGGAAAACTTGTGATAGATAAGTACGCCTGACTCCTCGTAGGTCCTGAACTCTACAGACACGTTGATGGAGCGCTGGTCTTCGAAGGCTGGGTAGCGGAGATGAGCCTCTCGCTCCAGGAAGGTCATGGTCAGGTCAGAGGAGTCTCCGTACTGCCAAGAACAGGTGGATGAAAATAATATATTTCGTTAATTTAATGTTTCAAGTTGCTTCATCACAAACTTATATAGACATACACAAGCACTCAAATGTGCACACACACAATATTTAGATGGATGGAGGGATAGAGACATAATGTTTACACAAATATATACTTTCTTCCATTCCATCTCCCCCCTCCCACCTTCATTATCTATGAGACTGCTCCATGGCCAATATACCCTCCCTCCCCCACCTCAGGCTCTTCCAGGGTTAAATATACTTACAGGACATGTGCCCGAAATGTTAATCTTAGAGTACTTGGGACGCTGGTAATAATAAGAGTAATAATCATCAGCGTCTCGCATCTCAGGAATAATGGCAGTGCCGTTGATGAAAAGATTTTCTATACAGCCAGTGAAGTTCACTCTTGCCACCATCCCTGGCTGCAAGTTTGGCACACCTCCAATATAAAACTGAAAAAAAATTTAAAAACCGGTAAATGCATTGAAACCTAATTTTGTTATCCCTTTCTAATATTTCATAAAGTCAGTCCAATATGCTCCATTTCTTTCAACATTCAACGCTCCAAGCACATGATACGGGTTTAATACTCACCTCTCTGTTAAGATCCAGCCTCTTGAAGTCACCGTGGATTATGTCGTCAATCCTGACGCGGTCGACCAGGAAGGTAATGTTCCTCTGCTCCCTGCGAATCTCCACATCATGCCAGGAGTTGTCATCCAAGAGTGATCCCACAGAAAAGGTGCTCTTTACTTTTGCCCCTGTTTTGTACAAAATGAGTACGTTAGACTGGAGACCCAAACATCTATTCAATGACGTGCAAAATACCTTCCCTGTTTTACTTCACTGGTAGACTGAAAATGGCATTCACAAGGGATGAACTGCTTTGCTGACTTCAATACAGTTCCACTCTATCCACTGGTTATAATCCAGATATTTCCACCACCAACACAGAAAAAAAAACAGCATCATCCACTGTAGCTTCAGGTGTTTGCTCAACCAAAATAAAGTCCATCCTTTTGACAACATACACCCTCATCAGCAAAAAATGAGGAAACCAAACAAAAACTAACAGCCCACACCAATGCTGATGACCATCTTCTTCACAAAAAGATCAAACTTTCTTTAATCATGATGTCTTTACAACAGGCTTCAAGGTTTGTGTTATCGTAAAACTTTTCTGATGCTCCTCTTGCTCTGCGGAACAGTTTTAAAGCTTAATCCTATGACCAAGGATGGCATGATATCAATACAAGGGCTGTGGTGGACTGAATCACAAACGGCACCACATGATGACATACCCTGCCCTTTCGGGTCATCAGAAGGAGCTTGTCTCTCTCCAATAGTAGACACATCCTGTGTTTGGTTTCACTAGTAGATATAGGCAATTAAAATGAAGGGAAATCTTTAATTTTCAAAAATTTGTTTATGAAATTGAGCTACAAGCTATTTGGCATCTAATACTGTGTTTGAAGTATTGAACGAGCTGTGTACAAACCAGAAAAACTGCCAATGTATGCTTACAAGTCTGCATCACTGGCCACTAGCCAATTTTTAATACAACAGTTATTTTGTTAAACATTGTAACTGATGATTACAAAATATTAAACCACACCATGCATATGTCCATGCATCTTCTTATGGTATGTGTTAATTAATATATTAATCTAGTCAACCTTCACAGCAACAATATGGGATTCTTTTGTACATCCATCTACCATTTACTGTGATAACATCAAACAGCCACATCGAAGTCCTATATGCAGAGTCAGAATTCCACTTAACCCAATGCCGACAGGCATGATGTGTACATACGTGCTGTGCCCACTGAGTTACTGGTTTGATTGTTTTTACACATAGATGGCTATACTAGTACTAAGTCAACAATGAGCCAATTACGAGTACTGCCTGTCTTGCCCATGTACCCTTTTCTTTGATTTATGAAAATATTTTACATTATTTTATTTTGTTTTTACTAATGTTTATAACATTATAGTAATTATAATGTTTATAATAAAAATAACACCACTGATATTCATAGCACTAGTAAGAAATACATTTTCTCCTCCAATTCAAATCAGGTAAGGTCATAAGGTCTACTAATTGACTTCTTTGTGGCTAAGCACTAGCAGAGCCATCTATGTTAAGAGACATTTCACAAAAAATATAGAAAATAAGCACAGCATTACCCCCACTTATTATTCATATTCCCTGGTGGCATTGGGTTAAACTTCAGTGTATAGCCCAAGCATTTTTGCCTAAAGAGTGAAAAATTAATCCACATCCAAATACTACTGAGAAACATGAACATTAGAGCTTTTCAGCAACAGTGATCAGCAACCTCTTCCTAATAAAGAGCAAATTTTGGATTGTTTTCCTGGAGGGAGAAATACACAAAGAAAAATTTGCATGGTTAGATAACACAAAAACAGAAAAGGCACTCAAATGTATATCATGAAAATTAAAAAAACAAAACAAAATAAAAGAATAAAAAAGGTAAAAAGAAAATCTTTAAAAAATATGTTCCCTCAGGAAAGACCAACCCCATTCTTCTGTGCCGTCAATTTCAGATTGTGCAGCTTCCAAACTGTTCGCCAACCTGCTGCTGCTTTGGGATGTGGTGGGAGCTGAAGCACCTGAGAAGTGATTAAGGAACGCCATCAAATAAAAGTCTTGTACGCCACAGACAGTGCAGCAGGTAACCAAACAAGAAAAAGCAAGAGAGAGCAAAAATGAAAAAAGAAAAGGAATCAAGACAAAGTTTCCTTGAAATGTACTTTGTTAACCCCTTCCCGACGGGTCACACCGAGAGGCGTCAAAACAAAAAGCTCGATCTGTGGCGTGCAGCTGTTCGGTGCGGCGGAGCACCAAAGCACTATGAGCCAGTGATTCGTCTTGATGTACCGAAGTCCCGCAAACTCAAAGTCAGTGCATTGCCATTGATCTCCAGGGCGTAGAGGTTTCTTAAAGCTTTCTTCACCCGTCATCAAGGGGTTAATCAAGCGTTTTTCCCAAAGGTTGCATCAGGATGCACACAAGACTATTAGCCTTGTATCAAATCATGGCTAGAGAGTTTGTTCCCTATCAAATTTTAGCACCTAGTAATATCTCTACCTACAATGCCCTGCCTATGTTGTCACTTATCCTTCATGAGTCTTTCAAACTAGAATTTGATACAGTTGCAAATGATTTGAACTAAATGGTAGGCAGTGCATTTAAACCCCTTAATGACGGGTGACGCCGATAGGCGTGAAAACAAACTGCTCGAAAGCTGGCATGCGGCTGTACGCCGCTGTGGCGCGCCAAAATGCGGCGAGCCAGTGATTCGGGCTGATGTACCAAACTCACGCGCTCAAAGCCGGCGCACTGCCATTGTTTGCCAGAGCGTAGAGTTTTTTTTTTTTTGTTTTCTTCACCCGTCACCATTAGGTTAAAGTGCAATCCTAAATACCCAGATAACTTTGTTAATATCCTCAGCAACAACAGAAAGCTACTTGATATTGGTTTAACTTGACAACTGCTATACTAGCAGATTGTGTCATACATGAACCATAAGCAGTGTTCTTTATGACAAAGTTTCTTCTGCCACTCACAATATCAACTCCCCATACACTCAATCCCCTTACAGGTCCTCCTCTGCTAACTAAAATCCTGCTGTTATGCCTTTATATTTTTATGAATGAAAAGGAGTGAGTGTGAGGCAACAATCTTGAAACTGTATGGCTTATTTTATCCAAAATCCTAGATCTATTTCCAACACATTCCCCCTCCATACACCTTACTATTAAGATGCATATCACAGCATTACCTCCTGACATGTCATTATCTTTTTACTATTTATAAGTGTAGATATATATATTTTTTTCTAGTGCATGAAAATGAGGACTTCATATGCCAAAGAAAAATATTTGACCTACTGAAACCTGAAAAATCCTTCATTTTTTGCAGGCCTTGGGAGTGAAGAGGAAAAAAAATAGAGCAAGCTACCTAATCTATAGTTTCCCTTGAAAATAAAATAACTAATGGTATCCTTTAGAGCAAATAGCTGACAGGGAGAAAGAAAAAGGCTCTGAGCAAAAAAGTGCCAGAAAGATATTTTTAACGAAATCAGAGAGAGAACATGGACAAAAAATAAAAAAAAATATCAGTCAATAAAAACAATACAGAAAGAAAGGTAGGAAGAAAGAAAGATAGGAAGAAAGAAATATAGAAGAAAAAAAAAAAGAAAAAAAAAAAGAAAGAAAAAAGATAAAAAGAGGGAGAGTGAGAGAAAGAGAAAAAAAATTCAAGCAAAGAAAAAGAAAGAGAGAAAGAAGACAAAGAAATCAAATTAGAGAATCCCCCTGCAGACGCTATTCAGCAAACTCACCCAGATTGACATTGAGGACCATCTTGTTCTGCACGAGCTGGAGTGAGAGGTAGTCGCCCTGAGTGCCACGGCTGTACATCATCATGGCATCCGGGTGTGTGGTCCGGAACCTGAAGCGAATGTGGTCGCGCAGGGAGGCCACTGGCACACGCTGATAGTCCACGATCACCATGGAGTTCCCGCGGAAGCTGACTGTGTCGTGCTCTGGGGAAGGGAGGGAGGAGTTAGGCTTACCCTCTACGTATCAATGCTTAGACATAGATATACTATAATATAATACATATACATACATACATACATCCATTATATATATACATATATACATATATACATATATATATATATATATATATATATATATATATATATATATATATATACATATCTACATATACATATCTACATATACATATCTACATATACATATCTACATATACATATCTACATATCTACATATCTACATATCTACATATATACATATATACATATATATATATATATACATATATATATACATATATATATACATATATATATACATATATATATACATATATATATACATATATATATACATATATATATATATATATATATATATATATATATATATATATATATATATATTCTCTCGCCAACTAATGAACGACCTGAACCCACGACCCCAAAAAATAGTTCCACTCCTAGAGCAATTAATAGAGTGACAAAATGAAGGAGACGGAAATCCTCTCCGCAGCCAATGAACCCCCCCCACCCCCAAAAAAAAAAAACGCCACAGAGAGGCACTTACTGTAAGAGCAGCCGTAGAGCTCGAGCCGCAGGGAGATTCGGTCCCTCCATCTCGAGGGCTTTATGCGGATGTAGCGTGCGATAATCGGGGTCTCGAGCAGATTGGTGACCACGGTGTTGCCGTCCTTGTTGCCAGGGAAGGCCTGTGGGAGGGGGGGAGGGAGTGGGGGAAAGGAGGGGGAGAGGGGGCTTTAGTCAATATGTTCAGTTTGGATCTATGCTATGTGTCAGTTGCCTTTGATCATATTACTGTAATTATATCAACTTTTTATCTCATTCTCATTCTTCATATTGAAGAGTACTTGAATATTACACCTTGTTGATCATCAAACAAAATTCTATGAAGTTATAACAATTAATGAAGAAAAGACAATATATCAACAATTATACAAATTAATAACAACAATAATAATCATCATCATGAAACGAAAAGGAAAAAATATTTACATATATATACACAAGAAAGTATTATTATGATAAACAATTCAATTCCAATATCAAATACCAAAAAACACACATGCATACAGACATACCTGTTTTTAGAAACACAAACTGACAACAAAAACACAAACTTTACACAGATTCACAAAAAAAGCACTCAAACACAAACACACACACACTTACAGTCACACTCACTCACACACACACACTCCCTCACACTCTCACACGCACTCACACTCCCTCACACTCTCACACTCCCTCACACTCTCACACTCTCACACTCCCTCACACTCTCACACTCCCTCACACTCTCACACGCACTCACACTCTCACACGCACTCACACGAACTCACGCACTCACACGAACTCACGCACTCACACTCTCACACGCACTCACACTCTCACACGCACTCACACTCTCACAAACACACTCACTCGCACTTACACTCACACACATACACACACACACTCACTCTCACACACTCCCTCACTCACACACACTCACACCCTTAAACTAAATAATATCCATGCAAGTTGCAAGTTACAAAACCCCTCATTCCTCCTCTCTTTAGCTATGATCAGATGGGAAGCTCTATCCCCTGTCTTTAATAAAGAACATGCAATCCTGCAAACAAGCAAATCACAACTGCAGGAATGGAGACAAGCCATACACTTCTCTTCACCAGCTCTCACTGTGAAGCATGCAATTGCAGAGGAATAATGGATATACTTGCAATGGCATGCAACAACCTATGTTTTTGTTTTTAATAGTTTTGCATACTGCTTGTTTTAGGCCTAGCTTATGTAATAATAATCTTTTCTTTTAACTAACAGATACTGGAGAAAGAGGTGAAACTGGAATTGGGAGAGAAGGAAAAAAAAAAACGGGAAAGGAGGAGGAAAAAGATGTAAAATAGGAGGAAGAGAAAGAGGAAGAAAATTATAAAAAAATAAGGAGGAGGAGGAGGAGGAGGAGGAGGAGGAGGAGGAGAAGGAGAAGGAGGAGGAAAAGGAGGGAGGAGGGAAGAGAGAGGAGGAGGGAGGAGTTGGAGGTGGAGGTGGAGGAGGGGCAAAGGAAGAGGAAGAGGAAGAGGAAGAGAAAGTGGAAAAGGAAGAGGAAAAGGAAGAGGACGAGGAAGAGAAAGTGGAAAAGGAAGAAGAAAAGGAAGAGGAAGAGGAAGAGAAAGTGGAAAAGGAAGAGGAAAAGGAAGAGGAAGAAGAAGAAGAGGAGGAGGAAGAAAACTGGAGAAAGAAGAGGTATAGCTGAAATATATAGCTACAACAAACAATTAAATTTTAAAATTTATCTTCTTTTATCCTATACATAAACATCCCCTCCATTACCTTCAATCATATTAGATGCATTTTTGCCTCTTTTTTGCACTAAAAATTTTAGATATGATCTTCAAATTCCATGACCATTAACTTGTTCTCATCGTGCACATTAATATGCATAATGACAACAAGAATATTCTACTTCACATGAGGTTACTGCATCACCTGCCTGTTGAGGTGTCAAACATATGTACCAGTTATATAATATAACGGATAATATATAACAAAATGAATAAAAAAAATATCTATTGAATTTTCACAACTACTACAATCTCAACAAAAATCTGGTTGAAAATTTGCATCACAACATCACACAAGACTCATTTACACTTCTATATAAGTGCATCTATAATTTCTACACTACTAATGTTGCAATTTTCTCATTTTAACTAAAGTGATTAACATTTTGCTCTTATGAAACACACATAGACATAAGAAATATTACTCAGTGAACAGACGCTAACAGTGAAGACAGCAATTGGTGTGAAACAAAACAACAATTCAAATAATCTTATAAAAATAATTGCCACATGCATATCAATACTTGGCACAAAATAATACCAATAATAATATTAATAACAAAATAATGCTGATAATAACAATAACAATGGTAACACCAATAATAATAATAATAATAATAATAATAATAATAATAACAATAATAACATCAACAACAAATGCCAAGTGGGAAAAAAAGTAAAAAAAGCAGGCAATCATAACTTTATCAACACAAGCACAACAGATCATTCCAGTGTTTACACGAAGCCATGAAGTACACTTAGCAAACATATTCTAAAATATGTGTTTCTCGCCATCTACCTTCGCATGACCTGAATAATCCCTGTAAGTAATCCACACATCCGCATTGTCCGAGTACTGCAAAATGTACTCGGTGACATACTCTCTTGTGTTCTGTTTACCCTGAGTGGCTATCTTAGTCACATTCTGCCGCTCGTGAAACTCCACGCTAAGATACTGATAGTAGTTACTCTTTAGGGCTGACCATGCTAGCTCTCCTGAAATTATATATAAAGAGGGGGGAAACCCTGGCTAAGTTCTAAAGTGCTCCTAATGAGGAAGCTTTGCACTGACTAGGACACACTTCAGCACTAGCACGGTCTTACCAACACAGCTCACATCAAGGGAAATTATGTGCGATGAATTAATAAAATTTTTAAATCACGATTTTTAAAAATCAAATGGAACAATTATTTTGTTCAGAATATCTCTAAAAGTATCAAATAATTTTCCAATCTTGAGGCACAGCACAAAAATTTGAACATATTAAAAAATAATCTGGACATATTTGTATACACAATCCTACTTCCCAAAAATATTCCATTCATATAATTTTTACATATTCCCCTTACCCTAGCCTTTGTAAACCATCAACACACACCAGTGATAGCTTAATCTTTAGGTATAATGAAACAAAGTGCTATACTGGATTTACTGACAAAATGTTTTTCAAGCCATGCCCCTTGATGTGATGTACTGAACTGTGACTGGGTTGTACAGCAGTATTCTATTTAGAAGTATAGCATAGGCACTCACCAGCTCTATGTAACTTGCAGAATATATAGAGCAAATATAGTTGTAACTCCTGGTAACATAACTCAATGCCAATGAGTCTTTCATACGCCATGATGGACCATGCACCAGCGTGCCATATGCAGTCAGCCACTCACAGGAATTATTTGAAGCACAGGAATTATATAATATCCTTCCTTTCTACAATAATGGCTTCAGCCTACACAATTTTCAAGGATATATCACTAAAAATTTCTCTTATGCCTGTATCTCCTGAAATAGTGCAAAAGACTGTTTAATGCAGGCTCAATGCACATGGCATGAAGGTACATCCCACCTGGAATAAGTGTCCAACCTTTCCATAGCATGTACATGTCACCCATTAGCAATGGGCTAATTATCAAAAGTATTCAAATTTCAATGTTATTTCACATTAAACAAAAAGTAATGAGTTAAACAAGACTAAATATTAATTTGAGTAACAATGTAACACAGTATCCAATCACAATACAAGACATGAAGCAGTGGCATGACATAAATGAACAGCGGATGATGTAGAGATGAGCTTTTCCCAACAAAACCTGAAAGGCAAAACATCTCTACTTCATGAAAGAGAGAGAGAGAGAGAGAGAGAGAAAAAGACATATCAAAATTCTTGTCTTATTAAATAAATTGCACCACCTGTGTGAAGAATTATTTTCTACATTTCAAACCACAAGCAATCAAGCTTCCGGCATCAGACCAAGACCATGTTGCAAATATACACATTATTCGCTTGAATCTCTTAATGCATTACCAACCAATGATTAACTCTTAGCCAACAACACTACCATTCATGCTCATGTCAAGAAGCAATGTAGATCTCAAGAGTTCAAAGGGAAGAAAAAAATAAAATATAATAAACCCAATGCCTGATATGCTAAAAGGAATCCACAATGAATTCAACATAAAATACCTTAAATGGAAATCAATTCTGTTCTAATTCCCCCAGTCTGAAAACCCCTAAAATCTCCACTTCAGACTTCACACATACATACAGCCACACACGAGTGAGAATTCATTGGTTCACATGTATGTCTACATGTATCTATGTCTTATGAAGTGATTAGGCAAATATCCCACCACCATCACCCAAGAAAAGCCCAACACCGCGAACCTGAAAAAATAACACGACAGAGTACACACGCCATCACAACTCACCCAAATACTACCGTCAAACCCTTTGACAATAGAAAAGAGGTTGCCGTCCTGGCCAAACTCAATGGTGTAGGCCGTGACATACTCGTTGGAGTCTTGGCGGCCCTGCGTGGCAATGGCCGTTATGTTCTTGGTCTCTTTTAAGTCCACCTCCAGGTACTGCAGGTAATCAGCACTCCTGGCTGTCCATGCACTGGTTTCTGTGGCGGCAGGGGGTATATGTGAAGGGAAAAACGGAGCAAAAAAAAGAAAAATATAAGTAAATGAAAAAAGGGAAGCACTGAAAAAAGCAGGGGGAAAAAAAAATCAACTACACAGTAAGAGAAACAAACTTGATGCAAAATCAAATAACCACAGTAAATACTTCCAAGTCAAGAAGCTAAAACTAAATATCATATAATATAATAACAAAAAGAGAATAAAAGGAATGTGTAGTTAATAATCATTCTACTTCCATAAAATAAAAAAGGGGAACAAACAATAAAAGGTCATGGTGATACTTTCTTTCCACAACAGAATGACTCTCTGCCACAGAGTTAGAGGAGAGTAAAACTTGGAGACCATCTTTTCTGTTTTCTAAATTATACTCAGGGATCATTCAACTGCATTCACAAAAATTATGCTAAAATATCACACAAAAATGTTTATAAAAAATTATTAACAAATGACCTATTTGAATTTTCTAATCGCTCGTCTTCTATACAAATTTCTCCATGCTTATAAAAACTTCTTGTAATTTTTCTGCAACTGATTTTTAAAAAATCTGTTCTCTCATACATTGGCACATATTTGCCTAAACCTTTGAACAAAACCAAAAAAGAAAAGACCACGGCAAGACATGCATTTCTGTCGGTATATAATATGTCACTTTATTGTTCTCTCTGGCCTGGTGTATTTCTCTGCTTTTCCTTTTGTTGCTTTTTTTGTCCCACACAAATAACTAAATCTATTATTTATCATAAAAAATAATATCCTTGGAAAGACAATATGGAAAAACAGAGAAAGATATCCCTCACTATTATACAAATCGCCTAGGGGTAATAGTCAGCAGTCTTGAATAGGGATATCAGACTTGCAAAAATGTCAAACTTACTTTCTCTCTACTTCACTTTTTATATATATAATCAACTTTTTATATAATTTATATAATATCATATCAGACTTTAAAATTTCTTCTTCTTCTTCTTTTTTTTTTTTTTTTTTTTTTTTTTTGGTGTGTGTGTGTGTGTGGGGGGGGGCTATTAGTTGAAGAAAATTGACTGAGATTGAAGAACTTGAGGAAATGGAAATTGAATAATGACACTGGTCCATCTTTGTATTGAGGATTAACTTTATCTCTTGCATTTTGCTTCTAGTAAATCATCCTTTTTTTTAAACTAACCTGTTGAAACTAGGATAGTATGGATCTATACACTGTGTACTATTTTGTCTACACACAGATGACTCAAAATGCTCCTTTTCACCAAGAAGTCAATCACTAGGCCTAACCTCAACTGTTTACCCTATCATCTTAAATTTCCAGAAATGCTTTTTACCATTAAGGCTATTATTCTTGTTACTATTAAAAATGGAAAAAAATAATCATAACAACAATAACAAAAAAGCTAAGCAAGATGATAATATCAGTAGAAAATCAAAGAATGTGGTAAACAGGTGATATTGAGTAGGCCTAGTAATTGACTCCTAAGTGACTAAGTAAGAGTGAATCAACGTAATTGTAAACAAAATTAATAAGTAAAACCCACAGTGGATAGTATACATACCAACACTAATGGGCAAACTTACTGAATTCTAAGCTATTTTAATGGACTGAATAAAGCCTCTTCTTTAACCACTATCAATCAAAGACTTTGTGTATTCAAAGGACTAATAATATAACCATACACTCTTCAACACATTATATTTCAAGTAATTTTTTTTGGCAAATTCTTAATAGCAAGATAAAAAGAAACAGTTTACACTTATGAAATTACATTCAAATACCAACCGAAGATTACTGGCATCTGTCACTTGTAAGATGCTCAAAAAGAAGTCTGGATTTTGATTAATATTTTGTGATTGGGTTACACAATCATTTATGTAAACATCTCAAAACTCAGTCTTTAAAAAACATACATACACATACAGAGCACACACCAAATTGGTTATATTGAGTGATTTTCAGCATGTGCTTGTTACAAGTCATTCTGAAGTGGTGTATACCATGTAACAAATATGCAACATAATGGACACAGTGGTTGAATATCTACTCTCTAAAAACTGGGGCTAAAGAATAAAAACAGGAAAGATGAAATAAAAATGAAGGCTGCAGCATTATCAGGGAAATCTTGGGAGCAATTATGTCCACGGTGATTCTTCCTTCTTTGTAAAAGCCTCGGCAGCCTCCTCGTCTGGTTGTGTCAGAGCCTCTCCACTGGCAATTAATTCATCAAAGCTCAGGCAACTGAACAGTGGACTTTGCACCTCGCTTGCTGGCTCATCTGACTTTTCGCTATTGAGGGCTATGGCAACCGAGTGCTTCTGGTCCAGCATGCTTTCCAAGAAGCTCCACTTCTTGTCAAGTTTTCCATCTATCATGACCGTGGTATCCTGAGTGATGGAATTTGGGTGGAGCACTGGCGTCTTCAGGACAAAGGATACCCTCCTCAGCTCAAATCCTATGCCTACTCCAAGGGCCTTTACCAGACCTTCCTTCAGGCACCAGTGTCGATAAAAGGATGTCAGCTGGTCATATTCCTCAGGGAAATTACGTATCTGCGTCCACTCTTGTTCTGTGAACTGCCTCCTCATGGTGTGGAAGAAATCTTGGACATCCTTCCCTCCCGCATACTCCACCTTCATCACATCCACGCCCACTTTCTTTCCATCTTCGGCAGCGAGGACCACCCAGTCCCCCTGATGAGACACGTTGAAATCCACTTTCCTTAGCTCCTCGCCAACTGCGGCTGAGAGATAGGGCCGGCCTTTGTCTGTGCGAGCAAACCTTGCCTCCGCCCAAGAAAGGCCCAACTTCTCCGTGGCCAGTTTCCGGAGCATCAGTCGCCCTGCCATGGACGACTTCCCATCCTTTTTAAAAACAAATTTTCCAATCCGCTCCTTCTCCTCAGGCTGGATGTAGGAGAGGGCCAGCATCCAGTCACTCTTAGTAGGTGACCAGAATCTGGTGTTGAAGGCCCACCTCACACTCTCCATATTCCTCAACATTCAGTCTGTCTCCTCTACAAATGATAATAACACACACCAACTCACAAGACGAAACTACCACAAATATTCTATAAACACATCCAAAATATTACACCACTAAACAACTGAACGAATAGAATGAGTCCTCTCTCTTTGCTACACTCAGATCAGTAGGTTATGACGACCACAACACCTGGGAAGCCACCATCTGATGCTTGCTCAGAATGCACCTAAAAAAAAGAGGAAAAGAAACTTCTTTTACCACCTCATTTGTGGTTTCCATTCAGTCACATTCAACAACAGGCACAGATGGTGGTTTGGTCCCTAGGAATAGCAAACACTTATAGCTTTCTGCCAATACACAGAACAGGATGAAACAGTAAATACTCTTTTAACTATCTTTTCCTATGAGCACTTATCTCTGATACACTAACCTTCACCTCATTTGTCCCAGTAAACAAACTTAAGTCTAAGACCAATTATAGCCATAACTACCTCAAAAACATAAAACAAAGAAGAATAGAAGGTGGTTTTCCCTCATCTCTCACCAAATGACATCTGATAATAATAGCTAATAGGAATAACAATGCATTTCCCTCAATAGCAAACATTCATAAGCTACACTTCTTGGTAAAGCCTTAACACATTCCGTGAAATGCCGACGCCTCCACATGTGATAGGAAAGGAAATAAAATCCTGTGCCAATATGGTTCACATCATTAGCATAGCTCTTTGGTGTTCTGAAATCTGTTGGATGCTCCCATCTCAATAAATGCAAGCAATTACTAAAATATAATTTAAAAAATTCAGCAGTATAATGGATATGGTAGCTATGATAACATATTAACAATAATAATAATAATAACTCCTTTTCACATTAAAAAAGACCTATGACAACATACAACCACATAAAAATAAACTCAAAACACAGTAATACATCTAACCAAGAAACATTAGAGTAATAAATATAATACCATGTATACCATGAAATCCTAAACTCTACATACATTAGATTAAACTGAGGCCCACATATGTGATCACCTGAATGAAGATACATTTCACCATGAAGCATAATAATAATAATGACCAAAGCATTCACTTCTCTCAATGACGGAAATCACAACATTAAATGATACTCGAAACTGATTCCCTGAAAAGAGGTAAAGAAAGGAAAACGAAAATACTGACTCCCGCCAACTCACACACCCGACACGAAACACTGCTCAAAACAATGCCACATCAGAAGTGAATCACAAGGAGAAAGCATAAGGTAAAGAACACCAAAAACAGACAAACGCAGAGTTTAGGCTTACCGTACAATCTGGCCTTGTCTGCCTCTCTTGTGTGCAACTCGGAGGACGCGGTTAGTGCTGCCTCATCTAGGAGAGGGTACTCGCAGTAGTCTGTAAAAGTCCAAGGGGTCAATTTAGCGCCACAAATCTTAATATCAATAACAATAACAAAAATAATAATAATAAAATTAACACTCAGTAATTACTAATCAATAATTACAATAAAAATAATAATTACTGATAAAGGATAATGATAATAAATAATAGGAATAATAACAATAAATATAACAATAATAAGAGGGATGAGGTAAATAAAAAGAACGAAGAAGATATAGAGGATACGGAGAAGGAAGTTGCTTAGAAAGAGAAATAAAAAGAGGAGGTGGAGAAATAAGATGCTTAGAAAGAAGAGAATAAAGAAGAGAGAAAGCAAAAAAGGAAGAAACAGAGAAAGCAAAAAATCAAGAAAAAGAAAAAACAAAAATTGAAGAAGAAGAAGAAGAAGAAGAAGAAGAAGAAGAAGAAGAAGAAGAAGAAGAAGAAGAAGAAGAAGAAGAAGAAGAAGAAGAAGAAGAAGAAAAAAAAAAAAAAAAAAAAAAAAAAAAAAGGAAGAGAAAGGCAAAGCAAAAAAAGGAAGAGAAAGAAAAAGAAAAAGAAAGGAAGAGAAAGAGAGAAGAGTCAAGTGATGAAACAAGAAGCAGATGATGGAGAAGGAAGAAGAGAATGAGGAGAAAGAGGAAGAAAAAGACGAAGAGGAGGAAAAAGAGAACCTGAAAGAAAGATGAACAGAGGCAGAACCAATTCAAAACAAGATCAACAATACACACACAAACAACACAAACAACACAGAAGGCACATCAACCCTACAAACAAGAGGCACATGTTAAAGACTGGTAGGCCTATCTAACAAGTTTATCACATTTCCATTACTAACTAAACCCTCCCTCCCAGTGCAGCCCAGCCTTATCAGCAGCAGGAGATAAGCCTTAAACCAACAGCATTCTCTTCCTCTTGGCTTATCTAAGACTACTTAGTAACACCAGACAGATAAAAGTTATGATTTCCGGCAGCATCTGTCTCAAATAACAGACCAGATGGAGGCAGTCTCTGTTGTGGCTTTTGTTGCGGTTATTAGTTTTAGTATTATTATTTTTAATATCATTGTAATCATTATTATTATTGTAATTGTTATTATTATTATCATCATCATCATCATCATTATTATTATTATCATCATCATTACTATTATTATTATTACAATCATCATTATCATCATTAGTATTATTACTAATACTATTATTATTATTTTCTTATCCCACTTCTAATCATCTTCCTCTTATCCTAATCTTCTGTTTCTCCTAATCTTCTCTTTCGCCTTCTCCTCTTCCTCCTCCTACTCTACTTCTATTTCTCTCATTTTTTTCTTTCTACTTCTATTTCCCTTATCTTTTTCCTTTCTACTTCTATTTCCCTTATTTTTATTTTCTTTCTACTTCTTTTGGTTATTTTTCTTCATCATTACGCAACGCACCATTTCCTGTCGGCCAGACGTTCTTCCAAGTAACAGACCCATTTTTATCTTTTTATCTCTAACTGGAAAAAAATACCATAATCTAATCTAAATAATAAAATGCATGTGATTAAAATGCTCTAGAGAATATTGGAAATTAATGCAGAATAGAAAAGAAAAGAAAGAAAAAAAAAAGGAAAAAAAAAAATGGGTGTGGCTTAGATGTGAGTTTAAATAGGTTTATTACAAAATAAAACATATTTAAACCTTAAGTTTGTTTTTTTCTGTCCTTTTGGAACTATTAATACAAAAAGACTCAGGCCTAAGTATTATTTCAAGATTTTTTTTCTTTAATTAAAATTTAAATACAGTTTAAATCTCTCATGAAAAGGTTACACAACATATATATATATTTTTTTATTATTATTATTATCTAAAATTACTCTTTCGTAAAAAATAAATACATTACAAATTCCCTTTCCTTTAAAAATCCATTTCGTCGAATTTCATCAAATTAGAAAAAAAAACAAAAAAATAATAATAATTTAGGAAAGAAAAAGGGTGATTTATATAGGCCTTTCTTAACGTCTATTTTCTGACATTAATGACACCTAAATCATCACGAATACTCCTTTTACAGCTCTAAGACACGTGTTTATGGGGGAGTAATTATCCGAAAGGGAGAGAGAGAAAGGCGATAAATAGGAAGAGAGAAAATAAATAAACTTCCTTTAACGTTTTCAAAAAATTTCCTTCCCGGACCACGCTTTCTTCCGTTTCTTTTTGGGGGGGATATTTATGGCATTTTTTCGTTTATTCCCTTATGGTGGGTTTCTCCGGACTCTCGGAACATGGAAGATCGGTTCACGAGGGACGTGGAAATTCTTCTCGTTGTGAAAATGGGAGAAAATACGAAGAGAAATGGAGGAAAATTCTTGAAAGAAAGACCCGAAGTGGCAACCCCTCCAGATGGGTGGGGTGGGTGGGCGAAGGAACTTCCTCTTTTCCTCCATTTCCCCCTATTTCCTCGCCTTAAATCGAACGAATGCACTCACTCTCCGTCGGAAACTCACCTGAGGAATAACATAGTGGCAGGAATACGACGCAGACGAGCGGGAAGAGGTAGAAATTCACCATTATTTCACCTGTCCATGAAGAGGCGACTTGACACCCTCACACAAGCCCAACATGTG